AGCTTCTCGGTGTCAACCCCCAAGCACTCTTGGCTGTCTCCCTTGGTCAATGTCACCCGGAAGTGTTCATGTTCTCTGCCTACTTGTCCCCTTGCTAGGCAGTGCAGTCCCTCCCTGTCACAACAGTTCTTGAACTCTATTCTCGTCATGTCCCTTGGAATCCCAAACAGCAGCAGCTCCAACTTGTCTCCCTTCCACAGTTTCTGCTTCCATCCTCCAAGCTTCTTCACCATCCTCATGATCTCTACGGCAACTTGACCGTGGCCACTTGTTTTTCGTGCTCTTTCAGGAAGGTATACGGAATACTCGGCCTTCCCAATCCGAGTGTCCGACGGGGGTTGTGGTTCCTTTCAGTTCTTTTGCCGGCTCACCGACGCTAAATAGCGCCTCCAACATAGGCTCGCAGTCTAGATCCAAGTTCACACCTCCTGGCACAAGTACGCCACGCTCTGCTTAGTAAACACCCAAGCGTCCCCCGACCGCCCAATTTATCATTTCCGAAGTCCCGCGGTACAGGATACTTTCCTCCTGGGAGGTCATTTTCACCACAATAAGTTCAGGGACGACTTGCATAGCCTAAGATCCTACTCACACGCCGGGATGGAGCGTGCACCAACGTCCAGCTTCTCATAAACGCTCCACCATGGTTTGCTACCCCACTTGCGCTCCCGAGTAGACCTATCTGCCGAAAGTTTGGCCAACAATTCCTTACTGCTCTATACTCGCCTCTCTCCAATCGAAAACAATGCATTGTTTGTGCCGCACATCTATAATACCTCCGCAGTTTTTGCGTGGTTGGTCTATTTTTCAGGGGGGGTTCGTGTACGGGTTGGGGGTCGGGTCTATGTGTACTGCATTCTCGAATTGTCCCCTCACTCAACGCGTCTATGTGTCAGGCAATCTCCAATACAAATGAACCTGTGAGGTTTCAGTATGCAACTTTCGTCACTCAACACGTCTATGTGTCCGGCAATCGCAAACGTCACTCAACCCGTGAGGTCTCAATATGAAGCTATCCTCACTCAACGCGTCTAAGTGTCCGGCAATCTCCAATACAGATCGCCTGTGAGGTTTCAGTATGCAGCTATCCTCACTCAACGCGTCTAAGTGTCCGGCAATCTCCAATACAGATCGCCTGTGAGGTTTCAGTCAGTATGTGTCTATCCTCGCTCAATGCGTCTCTGTGTCCGGCACTCTCCAACATCACTCAACCGGTGGGGTTTCAATATGTAGCTATCCCCACGCAGCGCGTCTATGTCTCGGGCAACCTAAAAAAACCAATGCATCTCTGAGGTTTGAGTACGCAGCCATCCTCACTCAATGCGTCTATGTGTCCGGCAATCTCCACAAATCACCTGTGAGGTTTCAGAATGTGTCTATCCTTACTCAATGCGTCTATGTGTCCGGCACTCCAACATCACTCAACCCGTGGGGTTTCGGTATGCAGCTATCCCCACTCAACCCATCCATGTGTCTGGCAATCTGAAACCTCACTCAACCCTTGAGGTTTCAGTATACAGCACAATCACCCAACACGTTTATGTGTCTTGCAATCTCATGCATTGCTCAACCTGTGAGGTTTCCGTGAACAGCAATCCTCACTCCACTCGTCCATGCGTCACGCGTCTTTGGTAGCGCATATTATGGGGGCTATATTTGGGGTGGCGTGTTTTACAGCCAACAGCGCCAACCCACTCATGTCTAGGGGGGGGCGGGGGGGGCTTTGCCGTCTGTCGATTCATTGCCTGCCGTTCTCTGTCCTCCTCGCGTTGTCTCCCTCTTTCCCTGTCATTTCTGTTCATCTTGTCCCATCCCGCGTCACCGTCCCCTCTTCTATCCCTGTCCTTAGATCCCTGAGCTGGGCGACACGATCTTCGTTGTGTTGAGGAAGAAGCCTCTCATATTCCTTCATTGGTACCACCACGTGACGGTGCTGCTTTACTGCTGGCACTCGTACTTTGAGCAGACCACGTACGGCCTCTACTTCATCAGCATGAACTACACCGTGCATGGTGAGTTTGTGGTTTGGTGTTGCTGGTGTTGTTGGGCACCTCCTCACTACCGTGTAATAGGCCTGGGGGGCTACATCGGTGACACGTCCTAGCAGAGGTGGTTTGTGTGGGAGGGTAGCTGCTGTAGTTCAGCAATGTGCTGCTGTAGCGATGGAGCGTCTTGCGAAGTGTTGTTTGTTTGTTGTCCCTTCTGCGTTGGTAGTAGTTGTTGCGCCTTGCGTGTTGCGCGTAAAGTTGATGCTTTACAAAGCTGGGGAAAATATCGAAAACACACACCAAATCTTCGAATCCATTTGTTCCTGCTGTTGTTTGTCTCTCTCGCACGCGCGCTCTCGTGTGCACCACCTGTTCGACTTGCCGTGCAGCGCTCATGTACCTATACTACGGGCTCGCTGGCATGAGAATCCGCCTTTGCAAGCCTTACTATATCACCACTATGCAGATCAGCCAGATGGTGGTTGGCATCGCCGTTTGCGTGGCAGGGGGCTACTACATGGCCATGGGTGAGTAGTAGGAAGGGGGCTGAAGTTGCTCGGTTTGTTGCTGAGGGTAGGGGGAGTTTTGGTTCTTCTGAGTCGTTTGTTTCGCCGGAGGCTGTTGCTGCAGCGTCATGAGTGAGGTAGTTGAAGTAGCTCCATCCGCCCTCGCTGGCCTACGGAAGGTGACGGAAGATTACACACCCCCTGGACCGATTTCAAAGCTTGATTTCTTCACAGCAGAGGGGAGTGGCAGTACCAAAAGTGGCGGCTCGTCGAGAGCTTTTCCAAGGCATCGTTTGATTCACGCATCAACTCCGTCGTGGAGTAATGGCAATTGGAGAATCGGGCCGGGGTGNGGGGGGGGGGGGGGGGGGGGGGGGGGGGGGGGGGGGGGGGGGGGGGGGGGGGGGGGGGGGGGGGGGGGGCTACGCGTTGTGAATGATCCCGTTGCACCTACCAGCGGGCTGGGCTGAAGCCCTCGGGGCATGTTATCGATATAAATACTCTCAGAAGAAGCTCGAAGAGGTCAATAGGACAAGAGGGTGGGCTCTTGGCCTCTTCGCCCTTCCTGTGGAATAATTCGTATGTAGGTGCACCTTTGCTTCCTCCCCCTTCGAGGTTCTCCTGGAACCATGTGTCGAAAACACGCCCCGGAGGCACGTTACAGCCGGGGTATGTAGGTGCAGCGGGGTTCGTTCACGCCACGGAACCGTCCCCCCCGAACCCTTGTCTTTGTAGCTGCCCCCCCACCCTCCTTGGTCATGTCCCGGGAGGCGGCTAACGTATCCATACCTTCGTGATCATGTTCCCCGTAGCAACTTCCCCCTCATCTCACCATTGGTAGGCGATTCGTGTTTGCCGCTCCATGCGAGTGCTGCTACATACTGCTGTCGCGTCCGAAGCGCTGCCCTTTGGTGTTACATCTCTCTCAAGTTCTTGAATCCAACCCCCCCCCTGGTAGCACCGCTTGCAGCACTTCTTCACCCGCTGGCGTGTTGTGTGTTTTTTTTTTCACTGGTTATGTCTTCTCAGCGCTGTTGTCGTTGGATATTTCCCGGTCTGATGTGAATTGGCCCCCACCCACCCTCCAACAGCCACGGGAAGACGGTAGCTTACTGGGGTTAGACAAGATGTGAGAAAAATTATTGTGAGCCGCCTTTGGCAAAGTAGGAAGGAACGATTGGCCATCGGCGATCGGTCCTGTGGTAGCAATGCTCCGTCCGCTCGAGGACGCGTGGTCAACGGTCTAACAGCTGAGGCATTCAAAACATGAGCACGCCCCCCCCCCCCCCCCCC